AATATTTTTCGGAATCTAAACTAATGACACGGAATATGCAGCAAAATAGGCACCCGCTGAGAACTACCTTTTACAAAAAAAAAGTTCTTCAACTAGGTAATTCTAACAGTTGTATTCACATCGAGTTGACAACAATAACAACAAAAATGGCGTCTGTCAAATTGGATCATCAGATCTGTGATTGGATATTAAAAACCGATACACTTGGCAACTCCGCTCTAGACACGATCAATATTATTGGTCAACATATACGCGGCCAATTCAAATTCTTGCTTTTCGAATTGTTTTTTTTTTTTCTGCAAATATAAAGAGATCTTGGGACCGATTAGGCTTGATGAGTATAATATACCCCTAACTCGATCAGTCTATAAGCAAACCAGCATGGTTTTCCATAGTATGAAACAAACCCATGTATTGAAAATTTTGAGCATGAAACCTGTGGCAGCAATGTTCGATTCAAAATCGTTGAATTTTATCAAAAAATCGTCGCATGAGTATCGCTCACTATTTGTTGAATGACATCAACGGCGGTCCAGATTTGCTCAAAAGGATCATAACTGGTGACGAATCATGGATATAAGGTTATGGCATCGAAACCAATGTCCAATTGTCTCAATAGAAGAGCCCAGGAGAGCCAAGACCAACAAAGGACGCCAAGTTACTTACTGTTTCGTTTGATCACCGTGGCGTAGTGCATCAGGAGTTCTTGCCACATGGTCGTACGGTCGAAAAGGTTAGGTTATGTTAGGTTAGGTACAAAGTGATTGGGGTCTATTCAACCCTCCACCGCAACCCGCAAGGGTTTATTGTGGTCTCTCAGGTCAGCTGGTAAGAGTACGGCTCTGCTGAAGTCTTAAAACCTGATTCGTTTCCCAGCGAGGCAGCCACAAAGTAGATGCTCTGCTGTTTCATCGTCAATGAAGTAGTCGGATAGTCAAGGTGCAAGATTCCCTCCTTGATACCTGCGACAACTTTCCCGAATGGAGGTTTTTGCACGTCAACTACACCTGACGATGCCTTAGATTCAACCGTGCAGGGCTCTGGTTTTGATGAATCACAACTTTAGCACAAACTTTTTCTAACCTGCTCATGGGGGATTTGTTCCTGCACATGAGACAGATTCTGCGTACGCTGCTTAAGAATTTCGTGTAAGGCGGTTCCATAAGGAACCCAGCTCTTAAGGAGACGACTCAGTCGTTGCTGCACCACCGAACCTTATCTTTATTAAGTTTCAGTCATTGGATCAGGAGTTGGAGATTTGAGAAGCTTTCGCTGCTGATCTAAATTTACAGGGAGGTCAGTTGGAGTCGCAAGCTCGACATCCATCTCCTCTGTATACTCGCTCCTGATCTGAATATACAGGGAGGTCATTTGGAGTCGTGAGCTCGAAATCCATCTCCTCTGTAGACTCAGCGTCAGAAATAATTTTTAAGTTTACTCTGTCCATGAAAGTCCCACGTGTAGATAGGGAAAGAAGGTCAATCACGGCAGCGCCCCGCATCACCGTAACAAGGCGATGCTACGACGAGAGGGTGCCCGGTATCTCGAAGGTTCTGTAGAGACAGCTGATAGGCTCAGTGTCTTTCATCCTCACGGCACGGATACACACACCTTAGGATTGAGTCATCGTTGAGATGCCATTCAGTTAGGGAATAACAGAACCACACGTGACTCTGTCATTCCCGTATCCAGCCCCGCTGACAGTGGTTCAGGCAGTGAAAGATGAACAAGGACAGCCAACCCGCCACGGTCGAAAAGGAGTATCATTTTGAAGTTATGTGCCGTTTGTAAGAAGCAGTACAAAGAAAAAATCCGGTTTTGTGGAAAAGCAATTATTGGCTTTTGTATTGTGATAATGTACACCTGTTCACTCGACATTGCTTGTTCGTGATTTTTTGGCCATAAACAACACCGTAATTATGCCCCACAAACTTTTCCCCTGTGACTTTTTCCTGTTCCCAAAATTGAAGAGATCCATGAAACGACGGTGTTTTGCGACGAGAAGTTGAAAACCGAATCGGTGAGAGAGCTCAGAGGCATACAAAAGTGTATATCAGAACTCCTTCGAGGATTGGATAAAACGCTGGCATGAGTGTATTTCATCTGAGAGAGACTCCTTTTGAAGGGGAAACATTGAAATTGATGAATAAATGAGTAGTTTGATTGATTTTATTTTTTAAACAGACCTCGCAAATAAAAAATGAATATTTCGAAATGGAATTTCGAAACATTCATCTCTTCTACCGTACCGAGACAGTGGATTCTTGTAAATGTCAACCGGAAAACAACTACTTCCTCATAATGAATTTTCAAAAAAATTATGCCTATACAGTCCGGAAACATTTCACAACTAAATTACATTCAGATGATATCTGTGACACTTCACATCGTATAATCTTTTAATGTCCTGTCGCAAAATAAGCAATTATTTGTAATGAAAGTTATGGGCCATTGTGCTGAAAAGAAGAGAGAGAGAGACGTTAGTGCAGCCATTACTGACTTCCAAATCGCTCACATAAAACTTCCCATAAATGCAGAAATTAGATAAGAAAGGATGTTTCACTAAAAATACTTCATTTCAAATAATTGCTTTTGTGTTTCCATGACTATCGCAGCAAATTATATACAGGGATGGTCGATATTAAATAGAATTCGAATATTGGTCACGATTGTAACAATATATTTTTAATACTTTTGCACATACGCGAACGATAGCCTGAGGTATCTATGGAAGGTTGAAAAAGGATCAAATCAATAATGGAGTTGGCGTCACCTAGTTTAACCCTGCGACGACACGTGGAGGGTGACATTCTTCTGCCGTAGAAAATTCCATATAACTTTTCGAAATCGGCGCCCCAACGTCGGATGTATTCAGTAGCTTCCCCATATAGCCCCCACTCTCATATTCACATCTCAAATCAGTCGTCAGGTTCGTTCTGGTTCTACGAAATTCAGGTTCTAGGACGTCAGGATCATACGCAGATGATATAAAGCGTTCTGGTTTATTGAGGATAATTTCGGACTGATGAATCCTCTGTTCTGGTTTCTACTGCGAAATGATCGTAAACTGTCTTGAACCGTCCCGAATCGTTCTTGTTCTCGAGGCTGAACTGTTGAGTGTGAAGTTACCCACAACTTTCCATCCACAGTTTAGGACGAAGGACAATCGAACAGGGTTTAGAATGAGATTTGCGAACAGTGTTGCCAGATTGCAATTATTAGGGATTTCACCGGGATTTCGATGTTATCATTTTAAAAACATGATATATTATTGAAACATGTCGAACAAATGAGTCAGCATTCTATATAAACTCATTCTATCAGCCAACTGTCCCTATACAAGCATTAATGCCGAAAAACATGTAAAATAAGAGTATAATTCTATTCAGGAAAAATTCATTTGTACTGAAACAGGTAGCGTATGGGAACTGGAAAATTGGTTTCTCGGTAAAAATTTTATGACTTGTAAAAAGTATGTCATTTGAAATATCCTGCGTTGAACAATACCGAATGCCCAGGAAAGACTCATCCACGAAATATCAAATTCCTCACTTATCAAAAATAGTTTGTTGACGAAAATCTCAGATTATATTCTTTGAAAGTATATCTATCGACGTGCTGAAACAGATTTGCGAACCATACGTTCCTTCAGTGCGAAAAAAAATAGTTCCGTACATTCGAAACTGAATTATTCAAAAAACTCAAATTACTCACTTATCAAAAATACTTTGGTGATGAAAATTTTAGAATATATTCTTCGAAAGTATATCTATCGACGTGTTTGAACAGATTTGCGTACCATACGTTCCTTGGGTGCGAAAAAAAAATAGTTTCATATACAACATGAGCAAGGTCTGCTCATGTTGCGATTTCTCCGTAGCATGGTCAGAAATTGAATCCTGCCATTTGATAGGAGGTTATATTTTTGTTTATATATATAAGGAACTGAATTACTCAAGAAAGTCAAATTTCTCACTTATCAAAAATAGTTTTTCGATGAAAATTTCAGACTTAAATATCCTTTACCTAATTTTGTTGTAATTTGGCGATGGTATTTATAACATTAAGGAGCTAATTTAGCCCGAACGTGACTTAATTTAACAAGTCCAGTGGCGTCTCGAGCGGGATTTGAACGAATATTTTTGACTTAAAAAAGTACACCACTTACTTTTGTGCAATTTTTATTATTTCCTTGCATTAAGCAATTAGAAATACAACTTTTTTGTCACACGAATTTTGCTTACTTTTTAAGAAAAAAAGTCGACCTAACTGCATATCCCTGGACCTCACTAGGAATAATATAGGGAACTGAATTTTTCTGTTGGAAATTATTATTTTTACAATTTTTCATTACTAATTATGTGACAATAACAACAAATATTGAATTACCATAGTACCACTACTCGCCACTAAATGTCGTTAAGTGTCACAATACACAATAATAATTGAAATGCAAAAAAAGCGTAAGTTCGATAAGGTCACGCACTCTGCGACAATCCTAGTCTAGAAATATAGTTAAGGCAGAAATTGGCCCTTGGAATAAACTGAAAAAAACATTATGGCCCGAAGGCTTCAAAGTTTGGAGACCCCTGGGTTAATGGACTGACATCAGAAAACAACTAATCTACAGTTCAAGTATGCCTACTGACTATATGGGAAAAGATTTTTGTTACCTCTGGTTTCAAATATATTTCGGCGCTCTCACCAGACTATTTTTTTCAAAAGTAACATAGCATAATTTGTTTATATCTTTTGCAATGTGCTAAAACAACTTAAAACTTTTTTTTTCAATCTTTGCTCAATAATTGATGAACATTTGTTATATAATATTGATTCCACTCGCAGATAATTCATAATTTTCAACAGAAATAATTTCCACTTTCACTGTTCATCAATTTCGAATCTAGACAAGGCAACGTTTGAGTTGTTGTGACGACTTATCTGATGAAGAGACAAAAAAATATGATTAATATGTTGGCAAAACTTCGTAGTGACTTATCAGTTGAGGCCAAAGATATAGGGCAGAAGAAGAAAGGAATCTAGGAATGCATTCTCACTTAAGAGGGTCTCCACACTTTCTTCCATATATTGTTTCTGTGGCTATCAAACAGGTAAGTCACATCAATAATAAGAATACTTGTGATAACGAAAGTTGTCACTTCACTTTCTATACTTTTCTGAATTCATTGATCTTGTGTTCCAGGATTTCCGTTAATATATAAACTATTCTCTAGGAGTTATCAATCAGTGCGAAGACCTACAAGGATTTACTCAGAATGTAAGTTATAAAAAACGTATTATTTCAGTGTAGTAGCAATTTTATATTTACTATAATGCATTAAATTTAGAAATTCATTTGAAAATCATGTGATTTTGGACCAATTTTGTTACGAAATGCGTATTAGCAGATATGAAGAAGGTACCAGAACACAATAATAATAATAAAAATCGTCTTTATTGTTTCCCAGCTGTCGTTACATACAAATAATAAGATAAATTACATAGCCAGTTGCTGATATAACAAAAGGCGAAGTTCAACTCAGCACAAGTGCTACTGAGTTCTTCCATTCTATTTTCTTACAAAATATTTTACGTCATTCTGTCTTTACAATATTTTGTCAATGAATTAAATTACAAAATCAAAATAAAGCAATGGAAGCGCAGGAGGGCTACATATTTTCATTATTTGTTTCTTGGAAATGAATCTGAAACTGGAAATTTATTGCTTGAAATTTCGAGATTAATCCCGAAATTAGGATAGGTCTTAAATGTAGGTAAAATTATAACTCGGGTGGAAATTTTATTCATTAATCTCCAGTTTTATGAGTTGTTTGCAGAAAGGTATCTAATTAATTTATTATCGAGAAATTTGTATTCTGTACTACAGGTGTAGTAATAATTCCAACATAATTTTGAATTTCCAGATTGAATTTCGAAATGAAAGTAGAAATTTTGAGTTGAAAGTTGTAGTTTCCAGAATGATGTCGTAATTTCAGGTTTGAGATTAATCTCAAAATTTCGATTTTAAAAGTTCACAAGAATCAAATAATAAAAATATGTGGCGCATTCCGCAGTTTACAGATATTGATGTATTGAAATGAATCTCAACTAATGGAGAATACTTTTAATTAGTGTCGGACCGAAACTAGTTTTTACGACCGAAACCGAATTTCGGCAACGGTCTCAGTTTCGGCCGACACCGAACCCGAAATATCCTTACATGGAGTATATTTTGAGGGAAAAATAAAGAAAACGTTATTATAATCAGTCAGTCTCTATTTTTTTATCTTTAAATCACAACGTTATAAAGTCTTCGACATTTTTACTTATTGATAATCAACATAACAAACCCTTGTTTAAGAAAAAATATTAGTTGCACCTTAAAAGTACTTAAAATAGGTGGGGTGTTCATTTGAGTATTTCAAAAATATTAAACATAAAATTACTTATTGAAGTTGTTACCTAATATCACAATAGATACTTAATATTTATATAATAAACGAAGTAAATCACAAAATAAGTCACGATATGATTAGGCACGTGTACGCGGCAAAATGTCTTCGTCGCTTGTATGAAATTCAACGCGCCGAACATGACCGATCAAAGCGCGGGAACTCCCGAATGCAGTTTCGGTTGTAGTTTCGGCAGGTTTGCCACCGAAACCCGTTTTTTAAACGAAACCGAACTTTCAGTCGGACACCACTTTAAATTTCAATTTAAAAAAGTTGTGGCACTATTATTGACCAAAATGACCTGAAATAAATTTCAAAGAGTTGAATCTATCAGTATACCTCTTCTCAGAAAAATAATCACCTATGTACTTTTCTTGGAACACATTCCAATCCCAGCTACCTAGAGAGGCAAATTGAGGATGTCCTTATCAATTACTTGGAGTATTATCCCTTATCCCACCTAGTTATTTGACTGATATTGTTTGAATGAAAATGTGAATACTTTGTCAAGCATAGTTCTTTCAAATAACAAATAATGTTATCGCCATAAAAAAATTTGACCATCAAAATTTAGATGTTTCCAAGAATCCTAATATATCTAACACAATATTTGATACTATGATGCAATTTTAAAATGAAGAGTTCTATTTTGAAATTTCTTTTCTGTTTTACTGTAAAGTTAATTTCTGTTGTAATTTATGTAAAGCATATTTCAGTCAAGTTTTATACAGGGCTATTCAAATTCGTTTCTGTACATGGGGGTCTTGTAAACGATAAGAGATAGAGTGTCGGTTGAATTATGACAAAGTTGCGTATTTTATTCAATGATGTAGAGAAATCGAATATAGCTCTTTTCGTTCTGGAGATATACAGGAAAAACCAAAAAATCCCAAATTATTTTTTTGCCTATATCTTCTTTATTCGCAGACATATTGGAAATCTGTCATTTTTAGGTACCTATTCATATTTTTTCTATTACTCTGAGGGTTTTCTACAATACAATGAACTTCGAATAAGAAAACCTTTTATGATTATTTGAAACATATCAACATCAAAAATATATTATATGTGTTTTAATAAGCAGAAAGAGAAACGATTGCAATAATAACATCCGAAACGAACACTATAATTGTAATGACAATTGAAATGAAGTAATTTATATATGTAGGTACGTAAAAAAATTATTGGCACAATAAATGTTCGAATTGGAGTCCTTCCATTTCGAGACATTTTCAAACTCGGTTTTTCATATTATTTATTGTCCTTAATACACTTATTTGCTGCATATTTGCGAAATCATTCAAAATTCTCAATCTCGAGTCTTCCACATTTTCTTTCTCTCTGCCAGCGTAAATCCTATTTTTCAATGTCTCCCATAGAAAATAGTCCAAAATAGTAAGATCTGGTGATCTTGCAGACCATCTTATTTTCCCATTATTTGTCTCGAAATGGAAGGACTCCAATGCGAACATTTATTGCACAATTAATTTTTTTGTGTATATAAATTACTCCCTCCATTCCAATTTTCATTATGATTATAGTGTTCGTTTCGGATGTTATTATTGCTACCATTTTTTCTGCTCATTGAAACACATATAAGATATTTTTGTTGTGGATATGTTTCGGATAATCATAAAAGGTTTTTTTATTCGAAGATCATTGTAGAAAACGCCCAAAGCAATGGAAAAAATATGGATAGGTACCTAAAAATGAAAAAAAAATCTCGAAAAAGTCTACGGTACATAGGGAGACGTGAAAGTTGCTATTGTGTTTTTATTCAACTCAGTCAAATAATTTCCAGGGCCGTAATTTAAAAGGGAATAATTCACACAATTATAATCGAATATTACCGAAAAATCTCGAAATATAAAATTTAATTCAATTTCTCAGTATGGAGTGAACGTCTACGATCCAAAAACTACAACAAAAATTACAGGTCCGTGTTCAAAAATTCAAAGATGGTGGTGGCCCAAGTCAGATGACACCCTGTATAAAAAATTCATGGATATATTCTGAGAGCCCACATCGAGTGCCAATAGCAAAATTTGGACAGATTTCCAATATGTCTGCCAATAAAGAAGATATAGGCAAAAAATAATTTGGGATTTTTTGGTTTTTCCTGTATATCTCCAGAACCAAAAGAGCTATATTCGATTCCTTCACATCATTGAATAAAATACGCAACTTTGCCATAATTCAACCGACACTCTATCTCTTATCGTTTACGAGATTCCCATGTACAGAAACGAATTTGAATAGCCCTTGTATATAGGGATATTGGTTATAAGTAGGTTTCTATTTCCAAAATACGTTTTATTTATTCGAACTGAAATATGGAATGTTCCTTCCATAATGGACAGTAAAATTGAAAAAAAAATGTTTATAGGAAAGAAGTAGAAAGCTTTTTTCCAAAAAATATCAAGTGTTATTGGTAATTACATACCCATATGTCGTTTTTCCAACTTAAGTGAATGATCAATGTATAACCTAGTTATCTTTTTGTATAGATAATTCATCGATCTTTCACATGTGTGATATTGAATGAAAGTTCAAGAATTAGCAGATACTACACTAATGTATAAAAAAATGTTAATTTTAGAATGAACATGTAGGTTGTTGTTCAGTATATACAATATACTTGAAAAAGGTAACGGACTGATACTCAAGAAGAAATCGTATAACATAATAGAATATTGAAGTGGTACATCAAAATAATTTCTGCTTGACTTCCTTTCTCTGATTCTACTTGCACTTGAACATTCACGTACTCCTCGGAAGTTCATTATATAGTGCCGACATAAATAGTCTTCCTCTCCTTAACTTTCAAACGAGACAAGATACAGAGTACTTGGTTCTTTTTGATACAGAAGCCAATAGTGTGACATACCACTGAAAAGGTACTATCAACTTGTTATTCAATAGTCTGGGTCACAAGATCCTTTTTTTGGAACTTCTGTCCGAGGGCTCTGATCAAGGGCTCATTCGATTCGGAATGACCTCTAGCAACTTTTTGGAAAATTTCAAGAGGGGCTCGAAAACACTGCACAAGTTATAATCAATTTAGTGAAAAGGGGGTTTTGGTTTTTTGCAAATATCTCGGAAAATATTAAAGATATACAAAGTTTGAGAAAATATTGTTAGATATACTTCAGTTAATTAAATATAAATATTGGTGATGGAGTTTCTTCCCTTCATGGGTCACCAAACCTCAATTTTCTAAAATTGATTAATTAACTTTTGGAATTTTTTCGAGCCTCTCTTGATATTTTTCAAAAAGTTGCCAGAGGTCATTTCAAATCGAATTAGTCCTGGATCATAATTTTTGGTGCCCTTGGACGAAAGTTCCAAAAAAAGGATTTTGTGACCTAGACTATTCCACAAAAACCAAAATTAGCCTAATCGGTTCAGCAGTTCTAGAGTTTTTGCGAGATAGCAAACAGCAATTTATTTTTTATATATTGAAGATGTTTTAATTTTCACGTAGGGAAATAAATCAGTATCATTATCATTCTTGAATATTTTTTTAAAATTGAGAAAAGGTGTTGAAAACGTAAATCTAAAGTCAAGTTACTAATCACTCGCAGAAAAAGGTGGACATTTGAAACATTGTGATAGTTATTATCAGTTTTTCATTTCCGTCTTACGTCAAAATTGCAATTTTGTTAAAGATAATAAATTTTTCATGTTTCAGGTCTGACGGATATAAATCAGGGAACGCTAGTTTCAGAGGTGGATTTAAGAATGGAAGTAACAGGGGTGGTTCCAGGGGTAGTTTCAGGGATAGAAATTCTGCAGGAGCAAACAGAAATGGTTCTGGGAGTGGTTATGGTAACAACGGTAGAGATCGATTTGGTAATGGACAAGATTTGCAACCAGTTGACTGGAACGAAATATCTTTGCCACCATTCGAAAAAGATTTTTATGTGCCCCATGAGTCCGTATCCAAACGATCGACATCTGAAGTGGAGCAATATCGACATTCAAACGAAATCACAGTTGACGAAAATGCTCCTAATCCAATCGAGAGTTTCAAGGAAGCCTGCTTTCCTGATTACGTGATGAAAGAATTTCGCAAGCAGGGCTACGAAGCTCCCACTGCTATTCAGGCTCAAGGTTGGCCAATCGCCATGAGTGGCCACGATATGATAGCCATCGCTAAGACAGGATCTGGTAAAACATTAGGATATATACTTCCAGCAATAGTGCACATCAATAACCAAGAACCGTTAGGCAGATATGATGGACCCATAGCTCTTGTTCTAGCACCTACCCGAGAACTAGCTCAGCAAATACAAAAAGTAGCGAATGACTTTGGCAGATCTTCCAACGTGAGGAACACCTGCATTTTTGGAGGAGCTCCAAAAGGTTCTCAAGCTCGCGATTTAGAAAGAGGAGTAGAAATTTGTATCGCAACTCCTGGTAGGCTGATCGATTTTTTGTCGAAAGGTACAACAAATTTGAATCGCTGTACTTATCTAGTATTGGACGAAGCTGATAGAATGTTGGATATGGGTTTCGAACCTCAGATTCGTAAAATTCTAAATCAAATACGTCCTGATAGACAAACTCTCATGTGGTCTGCCACATGGCCTAAACAAGTAGAGAAACTAGCCTCTGACTTCATGACTGATCCTGTTCAGCTCAATATAGGATCGATGGATCTGTCTGCAAATCATAATATTCAACAGATCGTTGAAGTTTGCCACGAATATGATAAGGAACAAAAGTGAGTATTTTTTACTGAATTCAAAACTAGAAATTGATCAAAAAACAATATAAAAATAGGCTTCCGTAGCCAGAGTCAAAATTTGGAAGAAGAGAATACGGGCTGGTAGGCCATGAACTTATATTACCAGAAATGTTATTTCTCAGCAACGCCTCAGCCATGACTGAGATTTTGTTCTTTCCAATTTATTGTGAAGCGAATCATGGGGGAACGGGAATTAAATCCATTTTGTTACCAAATACAGAAAATTTTTTCATTGCTATTCAGATGGATTAAAATATTCCCAATGGGAAATTCGCCATTCTGAACTTGTGAAAAATCCTACTGATGTTATCATATTTTCAGGTTAGGGAAACTTCTGCAAGAAATTGGGAATGCTGAACCAGACTCTAAAATAATCATTTTCGTTTCAATGAAGAAGAAAGTGGAAGCGATTACAAGAACAATCAAGACGTATGGCTGGTCTGCAGCAACAATGCATGGGGATAAGACGCAACAGGAAAGAGATTATGTCTTGAGACAGTTCAGAAATGGCAAGATAACAGTTTTAGTTGCCACTGATGTGGCTGCTAGAGGATTAGGTGAGTTTGCTTCTTTCTGCAAGTGTAATTCCTCAGTTATTATGTATTTGGAGAAAAAATTAAGTTTTGGTAACCAGCTGGTGCTAGTTGGAGAGTTACAAGACCAAAAATAATATCAAGGTAACTGCTACTTACATATTTTTCAGATGTGGAAGGAATCAAACATGTCATAAATTACGACTACCCAAGTTCATCTGAAGATTATATACATAGAATAGGAAGAACTGGAAGATCTGATACCACCGGTACATCTTATACTTTCTTCACCCCTTCTGACTCTAGACAAGCCAAAGATTTAGTGTCCGTTCTAACTGAGGCCAACCAGGTAAAGACTTGAATTATATAACAGATCCATTTTTGACAAGCGGTCATTTGATTTTGATTCTACTCTGTTCAGCTGTTTCGGCGAGAAACATAGCAACATTTATTTAATTTCACTCATTCTCAACATTTTCATCATCTCAAAGCTATTTTAAATCAAGGGTATATTATGCAACGATCATGTAATGACGGTTATCAATACACGAGCATTAACCGGGATACGAATTCAAGATTGTCTTCAACATCGATAAGACATATGGCTTGATGTAACTAATGACTTTCAATATCTGAATTCAGAATGAATCTATTTACAAAAAAAATAGTTTTGTTGAAAAAAAAGCGCGGGATGCTTTCAATTATATTTTTATTATGGCTCCAATATTGTAAACTGATCCTAATTAAGTATTTATAACAATGGATATTTAGCACACCACGCTTTTTTACAACAAAAATATTTTATTGTGAAGACATTTATTCTGATTTCTGACTAATTAATAGTCGTCAAGCCATGGGACTTATCATCGTTGTTGAACACAATCTTAAATTAGTTTCGAATTATTTTCAATTGTGTTGCTATCAAAGCTTTTTTTTTCAAACTATTATTTATTATCCACTTTTTCGTTTGGCTTGGTGTTTCAATTTATGGTGTTTCAATCTTTAATACCCCTCCTCTTTTATTTTTTGAACGGGTCAACTCAAAAAATTTAAATTTGGGACCATGAAATAAATGAATGAATACTTCATTTTGAAGTGAAATTGACAAATGAAACTTACAAGATGGCGACTGGACGCCATTTGGAGAAAAAATTGAATGGAAAGGGGGATCTTGTGACACATATTTTTGAAGCTCCTAATAAATGCTTCACAACCCTAGAATATAATGTAAATATCTTCAACAACTACAAAGTGTCGGAACTTTCAATAGTTGTCTGAATACATTGACATTTAACTACATAATATGAGGTAATAAGCTTGAGGTCAGTTCAGAAGATGCTCGAAATGGTTGCCTTGAATTTCTTGACATATGAACAGCCTATCCGATTTTTCACGCCGAACATTTTCGAACACAGTAACGTCAATATCTCCACAAATATTTATTATTTTCTGCCGTATATCCAATATTGAAGCAGGTTCAGTTTCGTACACCTTTTGCTTCGAAGAGACCCATTAAAGAAATCCAAAGGTGTCAAATCTGGCGAGCCGGCTGTCCATTCTGTAGGACCTCGACGGCCAATCCAACGACCGGGAAAAGTAGTAACCAAATAGTTTCTTACTTGTCTGGAGTAATGTGGTGGTGCTACATCTTGTTGGAATACAATATCCATATCGAATTCAGTAGGATTCGCTTCGACGATTTCAGTGATGAGAGGGTCAACAGTAGTTTCCAGTATATTCCAATACAGTTCTCCTGTTGACTCTTGATCAATAAATAGAGGTCCTACAATATGGGTTTCCAATATTCCTGCACAAACTTTAATTCTTTCTGGATATTGGATATGTGTTTCCCGGAAAACGTGAGGGTTGGTGTAACTCCAATAACGGCAATTTTGTCTGTGTACATTGACGTTTGAAAAAAACTGGTCATTCGTCACTGAAAAAAAAATTGTATAGATAGTTAGGATGCCTTGCAATGGTTTCCGTAATGATTTCGCAGAATTATGTTCTTCGATCAGGGTCATCTTCAGTTAATCGGTGTACCATTTTAATTTTGTATGGATGATACCTATCCCTCTTCAAAAGTATCCACACAGTAGAAGGAGAATTAGTAGACTGTTCAGGATTTACTACCATCTCATCAATTATTTGCACTTGCTGTTCTTCCGGAATGGACGGATGATCTGGGGGCTTTCTGTTATGTACACTACCGGTACGACGTTTCGGAAAACGTTTTTTTTTCTTCCAGTTGACGAGAATTGACCATTTCAGAGATTGTTGACGTGATACCTTTTCATTAGTGAATCCGAAAAATTAATGAGAATATTCTAACTGAACAATGATGTTCATTGTCGTACCTACATTTTTTGTCATTTTTATGATAAAAAAAAAACTTAACGAACCTTATCGGGTTGTTGGAATTGCCTTATGGCAGATAAAAAGAACTGTTTCTATAAATATAGATATTGATGTGTTTGTCTTCAGGAAATTATTAACTGTTCCGCCATTTTGTAGTAGGTGAAGATATTGACTTCATATTCTACGGTTGTGAAGTGTTTGTCAGGAGCTTCAAAATTATATGTCACAAGACCCCTCTTTTCATTCAATTTTTTCCCAAATGGCGCCCAGTCGCCATCTTGAAAGTTTCATCTGTCAATTTCACTTCAAAATTAAGTATTCACGCAATAATTTCATTATCCCAAATTTCAATTTCTTTGAATTGACCCGTTCAAAAAATTAAAGAGGGGGTGCAGTGAAGAAATTCACTGTATACGCAGACAGTGTGATTGTCTCACTTGCTCTCACACAAGAGATAGTGTGAGTAAATCATTTAGACCTGGCGATACTGATAAGGATAATAAGATAAACTTATGAAATTATTGTCACCGATTCTTGATAAGTGTACATAGTTCAAAATACACCTGTCCGTTTAAAGTTAGTCAAAAGAAGAAGAGTCCAAAGAAGTCGGTTACAAACAAATAGGTGAACTACAAGGGAAGCTGATAAAAGCGTGTTAAAATTCTACAAAATTCTGCATTACTTGTACACCTTGAAAAAAACAAACGTAGTAGGTTGGATTTAGTCTTAGTCGCAGCTCGCCATTCTTTTCAATTATCTCAGAGATAATGATATCAAGTTCCTTATCATACTTTGCTTGTAACTCATAACTACGCCACACTTCGTTAACTAACTTCCGTATATTTTGTAGTTTTGTATTTGTACAAGATTTTTTAAAACTTTCGAACAATTCTTGGTATAACTTGGATTCATCTATTTCAAACAATAACTTAATCAAACAAATATACATCAATATGCTTTGCTTTGCTTATAATGTGTCAAATCGTCAATCATACCGGAACAAAACAGTAGATTGACGGAGGAGATTTAGACAAATGAATAGCGCGCGGTAATTCCCCCACTCGGTTCTAAGCGAGTACCTAAACGTGAACTTTATTTGTGGGAATCCCCAAAAATGCGTTTCGTTTTCGAACATGTGTGGGTTGCTATAAGTGTGAGAAAGTGAATAACTACTGCTGACGTACTCACAATCTAGACCCCCGCCCCCCATGTCATCAAAAATAAGCAAAGCAAAAATCCCCCCGCCCCTATAGTGTTTACTTGAACGGCCCCGAATTAGTTGCAGCCCAATCGGGAATGGCACCTATGGATTTTCTAAATATTCACATACATTACTATGATGTAGATGGTATTTCATTTAAAAAGTAAGTGAACGAAATATTTTCTGAAAAATTAATTGACATATTTTCAATTAAAAATATTTGCGACCACTTTTTAACTGGTACCCTGTCATAAATGTATTCTTCTATTCATAAATGTAAGTGTTAATTTGAGTTTAATTGACTACGCAATGATCGTAGTGACTTTGCAGCGGGATCCCGTACTATTAATCGAAAATTAATTTTATCAATTACAGTTAATTTTCTCAAATTCCCATGGTTACTTCCTTTCCAGTTAATAATCAGAAAATGAAGAACCCCACAAAAGTTTCGAGGACAAACCTCGCCCTTTAGGATTTGAAACAACGCCTTTGGCAACGTAGACATTTACTTCCACCCTCGAAGCAATTTTTCTCATTCCCATTATTTCCCAATTCTTGTTATATGTTTGTGAGTTATTCTCGAAGGGATATTTTCAGATCAAATCCTTGACTGATGTTTCAGTGATTGAGAACATGTTATTTCTGAAATGTTATATTTCATCTGTGATTTTTTATGTTATCACCGTCATTTATGTTATTACAGGTGGTGGATCCAAAACTAAGCGAGATTGCTAATCGTGCTAATCGATATGGAAATAATTCAGGGGGTCGATGGAATTATGGAGGAAGTTTCAGGGGAAAGGAAAACTTTGGAACATCATCAAATAGGAAATTCGGTCGTGGAGGATTCAACAGGCAAGGACGATTCTGAAGCGAGTGGACATAATCCAATTTTCAGCTGAAGGATCACTGAGCGTTTGTTTGTTCATTTCGATTCGATGAAGTTTTTGCCTTCTGAAAATCAATTCAGAGAAAAATTAATATAAATAATATTACTACTTCTTTTTTTTATTTCTTGCCTTTCATTTTCAACTCATCAGTTGAAACTTTATATAAATATACTGCTCCCAGTATACTATTAATGATAATAATAATACCTTATTTTCTTAGTGATATGCAAAAACATGTATAGAAGTTGTCAAAAAACAGTCAATTACCCTAAAAATTTCAACTAAAACTGAAAATAATACTCTCCCGAAGAGAGCACTTTTCAACAAGTACTTTCTGAAACATTGTTCGAATGCATAATTCAATTTCAGTCGGGAGTTTTTTTAAAAATCTTTGCCCAGTTACAGTGAGTGACCTATATAAGAGACTAGCGACCTGCCTGGTTCCGCACGGGTGCAATGCTGATACTAAATATTAAATCACCCACCTGAATTTTAAGGGCATGGAGAAACAGTGATGGAAATGTAATTTTATTTCATGAACGCTATTTTTCCCCGCAGCAGATGCCCTAGGTGGAATATTAAAAAATCCCTCCTTATTGAACAACATGAACAACATAAAACAAACCTACATAAAGAAAATTCCGCCACCTGAATTATAGCGGTACAAAGAAACAGTGATGGAAATGTAATTTTCATATGATAACACTTCCCCTTCAACCTCAGAGGGGGGCGCCCCAGTTGAAATATCTAGAAATCCTTTCCTATTGCATATCAACAACATAAAACGAACCGTCATACAAATTTTCAGTTTCCGAAAATAAAACGGTACAGAGAAACATTGATGACAAGGTAACTTCATTTTATGAATACGTCTTTTGTCCTGCCGCTGGCGCCCCAGTTGGAATATTCAAAAATTATTTTTTGTTGCACATCAACAACATGAAGCGAACCTGAATACTGAATTTCAGCTCTCGAGAATATAGGGGTACAGAGAAACAGTGATGAGAAAGTTATTTTTATATGTGGAACACGCCCCTTTGAACCCCAGTGGGGGTGTCCCAGTTGGAATATGTAGAAATCCTTTTTTTAATGCACTTCTCAAACATGAAACGAACCTACATACAAAATTTGGGTCTCCAAAAATAAAGCGGTATGAGGAAACAGTGATTGAAAGGTAATTTTCATTCACAGTTGAAATAATTGAAATTCCTTTTTTATTGCACATCCACTACATGTAACTAACCTACATACGAAATTTCAGCGACACTTCTACCCCCACGGGGTGCGCCCCAGTCGAAATAATTGGAAATCCTACTTACGAAATTTCATCCTCCAAAAATATAGCGGTACGGGAAACAGTGATTGAAAAGTAATTTTCATATGTTAACGCGCCCCTCTCACCCCCACGTGGGAACCTCCAGTTGAAATAATTTAAAATCCTTCCTCATTGCACAACCACAATATAGAATGAACCTACATACGAAATTTCAGCCTCAGTTTTGAAACAGTTCAAATTACACAATACAAAAACAAACTTCAAATGTGTTCGAGCACATCAAGGTTAATTTGTTGAATTCTCTACAACTAGAGGTAGAACAAATACATTTTTTCTGTGATAAAAACACATCATCAAAACAAGTGGATAAACCTCAAAAATATATTCCGTATCTTAGTCGGGATATCTCATATTTCTGAATAAATAGCTGACAGAGAAAAAAAAACTAATCAATACAGTTTATTGTATGATACTCACTATAAAAGGGTTTTACGGAAACCGCGACACGTGTTTCGCTATACAATAGCTTTTTCAAGCATACACTCAGAGTCACTTCTAAATTACACCCTTTTATTGTGAAAATCATACAATACACTGTATTGATGAGTTTTTCAATACGGATTTTCATCATGTATCGGCCAGTTCTATTCAATTATGACAGAGTTGAGTTTGAAAATTACTGATTCACAGTCCAATCAAAACACTCTTCGATATACATGCCCAGAATCCCTTACACATGATACATTTTCCAATACTCAATTATTGATATTCACATGAATGGTAGGCAATGAACTTATATATCGACCACTTGCGTAGGTTGTAACTTCATCCTTCCCGTTCTCTAAAGTAAACGTAGCCTGATCTGAACCTTTATTAACATATTTGCAAACGTATTTGATTGACTTCACTGAATGGCAATACTCTACGTTCACGTGAGCGTTACATGTTCTCAATAGCACTGGATTATAAGGAACCACCCTTGATATTGACGGAGAATCCACCGTCATCCAGAGAACGTCTCTTGTACATCGGATAACCATCATCACCGGCCTAAGAGCCTTAGGATAACGTTTGCTGCACGAATTATCTTTCATGCATGGAGAATTTCGGTTTAAACTTCCACAGGGTCCATGTATCATATTACTTTTAACAATTTCGTAAAGTTCAAGATCACGGTCGGGGTTAGGTATTTCAGGACAAATAATATTGTCAATTTGATCCGGAGTTATGCAATGTTAAAGCCATGAAAGTATATGGATATGCGGAAGACCTCGCTTTTGCCATTCCGTCGAATATATTTAGCATCTCACTTCACCGAATATTTTCCCTACTATCAACAAATCCATGACCTTTTTTACCTTTAATCGATAGACACGCGAAATAATACCGTATCGATCATGAGATTTTTGTTCTGAAAGTAAGTGCTCATTTATATCACTCCAGCGTGTGTTACATGTTAAAGTAAAAAAAGGTCGAGACGACCGTAGTGTTTATACATCATGGCGTCTTGCGTTTTTTCGTGCATGTATCTTGGTCCACCAGTAAAAGATGATGGAAGTACTACTATTTGTCCCAGCTGTTCAGTAATTGTTCAGTATCTTGCCGTCCAATTGCATCTTTTAAATGAATACAATTATCTGCGCGCAATTAGGCTTGATTATTTTTTATGTAGTTTAGTCTTCCAGTTTCTATTTTTGCATATTCATCTACCGAATATTGACTAAAAGGAGCGCGGTATTTAACCAAAAAGTTATATTCTCCTCTGATCATTATTCTGTATGAATAAAAACTTACAGCAGAGACTGTTTTTTTCAAGTGCAACTTAGTTGTGGGATCGCATTGTGGTATGTTGATAGAATATCCATCATCCCCCCCAGCAAAACATCAACAGGTACTGCAGCGCGTATCAGCTCGATGTATCTCACTGATACGCTGAAGTCAGTTACTTCGACTTACGAGGATGATGTATTCTAGGTCAAAATGCTGATCTACCAATACAACAGACACTTCATTTGCTGTTGGTGCATTAAATCTGCTTCTGTGTTCTATTTGTGGTTTTTAATCTGCATATATTACGAACTTGAATGACTCTGAAGGCGATATTTTATTAATGGCTGTTTTTAGATTTTTTATATATGGGTTCACCTCATGTAACATAAGCTGCAATTGTTTGATTGAAATTTGGTCTCAAATCAGGAAATTTAGAACATCTAATATTAGCTTCTCTATCTTCTTCACCGACGAAATAAATTTGCAGAAACTGTGCATCCTGCCCAGGTTCCGGTAATATACTTCCAATTGAATGATAGACTTGTTCTTGAACTTTAAAAGTTGTTGAAAAACCGCCTTTCATTTGTTTTCCACCAGAGGAAGTCATTTGAAAACAGGCATTATGTTTTCGGATATTATCCATGAAGTGTACATGATTTGGGTGTAAATCATTAACCAGACTGTAAAGTGGTTCAGGCAGTTGTTTAAACGGCTCAAGATGAACTTCACCGGCGCTACAACACATGCCGGGTGTCTCATCTTTCCACTTAGAGGCGTTACACCACTGACACTTGTACGTCATAGAACCTAAGACTATACTGATGTCAGTTCCAGCAATATCTGGGTCATACGCCAAACCCGAAAGCAACTTGCTTCTCTATACACGCTGAATTGTATTTTCTCTATACCGTGACTGAATCACTCTATGCACATCGGTATTCCTGACCTGATATAGTGCAGCAGATTCCCTATGTTTTTCAGGGTTTGAAGCCTGGTAGGTGGCGACAGCCTGCCTGTGTTTTTCAATAAAAAGAGGGTTGGAGATAATATGAATCCCTGGGGAACACCAGCGTTGATGGTGAAAGTATTCGAGAAATATCTATCGTCGGTCACTTGCAGGAAATGTTAAGATAAACCAAGCCACGTCTACCCATGATAATATAAAACTGAAGTCAGATATACCAGCATTGTAGTTTCTGCGTTGAGAGCAACGGGGAGGACAACGGGAACAGCAACTCGAGTATTTCGATCGTTATCCCATATCCTTTGATTATATCTACCGCAGTAGTAGAGAAAACGTCAGTCATAAAAAGCTGCGGACCATGGCCAAAAAAACGAATATAAACGATTTTGATCCTGTTGATCGTCTGTTTGTGATGTAATCTCGATGTTCATTCCCATTCACTTTTGATGGTTTTCGAATTCCACTAAAATGAATTTCACAACAATATCAAAGTATCTTATGAATACAATTTCTTGTTATCTCTTTTGTTTTGTTGAGATCTGTATGTGTGAGAGCCCTATCAGGCTAGCAAGACGAATCCAGCAAAATTGCAAAAAAATACATCAATTTGTAGGTAATTAGTAGCCAAAACAACGATTTTGTTGCTCGTGCCGATCCCTAGAAATCGCGAATATTGCTATCGTGATATCAAGGTAGCAAGGTAACTCAATAAATTATATACTTTCCCTTTGATCTTTACAGACTATTTAGTTGCTATTTATTTGCTAAACCTTGGATATAGCGGAAAAATTTCAAATATATTTTTTTTTTAATTTTTTATGATCTTACTATCTTGAAACTGTTTTTTCCTGGAATTAAAGATGTTCTAAATTTGTTGCTCACCAGGAGTGAGCTCAAATACACCTTGAGTAACAGCAACAAAATAGTTGAAACCGATCGACCGATTTCAATTTTTTTTTTCAGTTTCCTCATTCTTGCTATCTTGAAACTACTTTTCTTTGGAATGAAAAGTATTTCAAATGTATTGCTCATCAGGAGGGTACTCGAATACATCTTGAGTAACAGC